CTCTCCGCCCAGCCCCTGCAACTGCGTGTCTATTATGCTTTCCGTCTCTGTGGGTTTGCCTGCTCTGGGTAGTCCCTATACAGGGAATCAGACCACATGTGGGCTTGCTTCTGGCTTCTTTCACTCATCACAGAGCCTCCAAGGTTCATCCATGTCTCGGCGAATATTGATACTTCATTCCTTTATAGGGCTAATATTCCATTGTATGGACCCAACACATTTTATTTATTTATTCCTCAGTTATGGGGCTGTTATGAATAATACCGCATGGACATTCGTGCACAGGAGCAGAGTTGCTGGGATGAATGGTCACTCCATGTTTAACCTTTTGAAGAAAGGCCACTGAGTGCATCTTACACGGCCACTGTGCCATTTTACACTCCCACTGGCTGTGTGGATGGGTCCCAGTTTCCCCACAATCTCCCCTGCCATTGTCTGTCCTTAGACGTCTAGCCAGCAGCATGGATGTGAAATCAAATCCTACTGCAATTTTGCTCTGCTTCTCCTTTTAGTTTTTAACTTTTCATTATGGAAAATCTTAGATAGTTACAGAGGGAACAGAATGATATAATGAATCCCAAGTTCTCACAACTCGGCTCCAACAAACAATGGTCAATGTTCCACCATTCCTGTTTCCTCTCTCTCTCTCTCCATCTTCGTTTTTATAGTTTTACAGGTAATGCACATGTCTTGACATGTATAAATCTCAGCTATACAATTTAACAAATGGATACACCCATGTGATTCTCACTCCTCTTAATATAGACTGTTTCCATGACCCTCGAAAGCTCCCTTGTGGCCCTTAACATTAATCTCTACCTCACCCAGAGGCAGCCACTATTGTGATTTTGTGCCCCATAGATGACTTTGCCTGTTCTCAAGCTTCCTGTAAATAGAGACCTACGACTTACAGTTCTGTTGCACCTGGCTTACTCTGCTCCCCATGTAGTCTGTGAGATTCACCCATGTTGTTCCACTGTTTACACCTCCAGCTTCTCTAGGCTGACTCTGCAGAGCATACCCCACTCCACGTGTGACAAGGCCACAAACGGGGTGACCAACCATCCAGTTTGCCCAGGACTAACAGAATTCCCAGAACCTGAAACTTTCTATGCCTAAACCCAGAAAGTTCTGGGCAAATCAGAATGAGTTGGCCGGGCACGGTGACTCACACTGTAATCCTAGCACTCTGGGAGGCTGAGTTGGGTGGAATGCTTGAACTCAGGAGATTGAGACCAACCTAAGCAAAAGCGAGACTCTGTCTCTAAAACAAGCTAGGTATTATGGCAGGTGCCTGTAATCCCAGCTACTCAGGAGGCTGAGGCAGGAGGATCTCCTGAGCCCAGGAGTTTGAGGTTGCTGTGGGCTACAATGATGCCATGGCACTCTATGTAGGGTGACACAGTGAGAGTCTGTCTCAAAATACAAACAAACAAACAAAGGGCGGTGCCTGTGTCTCAGTGGGTAGAGCACCAGCCCCATATACCGAGGGTGGTGGGTTCGAACCCGGCCCTGGTCAGCTAAAACAGCAATGAGAGTTGCAACAAAAAATAGTCAGGTGTTGGGCACCTGTAGTCCCAGCTACTCAGGAGGCTGAGACAAGAGAATCGCTTAAGCCCAAGAGTTGGAGGTTGCTGTGAGCTGTGACGGCACAGCACTCTACTGAGGTCAACAAAAAATGAGACTGTCTCAAAAAAAACCAGAATGAGTTGTTTGCCCTCCTTACAAAATACACTTAGAAACTTCCACCAAGGGGAAAAGACTAACTTTTTAACTTTTTCCTTCCCCTTTTTCTTTTTTCTTCAAATATTGGCTGGGCTGGGAATTACTTCCTCACCTTGAGCTCCATATATCAGATTTGGTCATTTCTCCAGGAACCAGTGAGGGAGGCTGGTTTAAGGGTGCAAAGCAGAGCCCTATGCAGGTGGAGTGACTCGGCAGGGCACACAGAGCCCTTGCTGCAGTGCAGGGAGGTGGCCAGCACAGGGAGGTGGCCAGCAGGCCAGGCGGGAGGAGGAGCTGGTGTGCATGGCTTGAATATCCAAACGCCACCCCAGAGGCAGAGGAAGAACCCAACACATCCTTCTCGGCCTCTCAGTGTCACCCTCCTGAGCTGTGGGGTGATTGGTTTGGAAAAGTTATTCCCAGCCTATAGTAAGTCTGTTAAGTCCAGAGAAAAATTCCCTAAACATCAATAAAGAAAGAAGCCTTGCAGGAAGAATCTAGCCTAGAGCCCAAAAGACCTCCAGGTGCCTCAGAGTCAACAGGGAAGCTTACCAAAATGCACCTTCCTGGGCGACCCCACGTAAGTATTTTGATTTTGTGATGGAGGCCCAAGAATCTGCATTACAAGCACCTTGAGAGACTCTGGCCCAGGAGGTTCTGAATCAGCTCTAAGAAACATTGATTCTGTTCCAACCTCTTCATTGGTAACAGAAGCACAGAGAAGGGCAGTGACCACTGCAAAGTCACACAGCAAGTCTGTAGGAGGACTGGAGAGTCAGGACCTGAACTTCCTGAACCCTCCAGGACCCTGAAGCAAATCGTGATAGCTGTGGCAAAGTCCTCCCAGTGTGTCGAGAATTTCCTCATCTTCTTGTAAAATCCAGCAGTAGGAGGAGGGTGTTGCTGGCCTTACACTGACCAGTCAGGCTACCGTCCACAACCAAGGTGTCATCATGTTAAAATAGCCACCAAGTATCGTGTGCCTGCCGGGGGCTGCCTTGTATGCAAATCTTTATGACAACCCTTCAGAGAGCAGAGCCCGAAAGTCCAGAGGGGGCAAGTGAGCTGCCTGGGTAATTTGGGATTTGAGACTCAGCATGGAAGCTCTGAACTCCATCCCTGACCATGCGCCTGACCCCCACCCTGTGGTAGACCAGAGAGAACACAGGGGACAAGTCGCCCAGCCCTGAACAGGCAAAGAAGGATTGGGATGGTCCAGCCCATTTCTCTTTCTCCAGCGGCCAGACGTCAAGAACATTTCAATTTAGGATTCCTGTGGGCCCAGGCACTGGAAATAATTTCTTTTTCCACTTCAGAACACTTTAATCCAAAGAAAACTGCAGTTGTCAACATCTTACTTTTTACACAGGCAACTAGCTTCAGTCATTCATACACCCATCCATCAAGTCTACGTAAATGTAATATTTATAGCAAGGTTTCCTAGTCTGGCTCTACATTTGAATCATCTATGAGGCTTCTGGAGAATTCTCCTGCTCAGCTCAAACCTAGAGGAATTAAATTAGAATCTCTGTGGGCCCAGCCTGGGCAGTAGATGTTTCAAGGGTCCCCCAGAGGTTTCTAATGTGAAGCCAAGTCCAAGAGCCACACACCAGACCAGTGCATGGCAGATTTTAATGTGCACATGGGTCACCTGCATGTGAAGAGCTACAATCACATACCCTAGAGACTCCAGAGAAAGCTCTGCCCACCAGCCTTCAAGCCCCTCCAGAAACAATGTCTAGTTCCAGCACCCCCAAAGCCCAGCATGGGACCTGGCACGAAATGGACCCTCAATACATTTTTGGTGGCCATTGTCAGATAGCTGTTGACTCAATCAAGTCACAAAGCTGGATGCACAGCAAGAGCTGAGGTTTATTTGGCACCTGGGTGAAGGTGGCTGGGACTCAATAGGCATCAGCCCCAAAGAGCAAGAGTGCTTAGCTTTTAAAGGCTTAAGTGATGTAGGAAGGGGAGAGTGTGCTAGTGACTGTTGCCACATAGGGTTCCAGCTTCTGTTCCTTTATGGTTTAGCCCCCCTAGAGCTATTGTGCCCCCTAGTTCCTTCTGGCTGAGTCCCAGAGGGGCTGGTTCCAGCAGAGGTCACTGAACAGCCAAGATAGAGTACATTATGCTTAAAACATGGCCTGAACGCCTGTAGCTCAAGCGGCTAAGGTGCCAGCCACATACACCAGAGCTGGCAGGTTCAAATCCAGCCTGGGCCTGCCAAACAACAATGACAACTACAACCAAAAAATAGCTGGGCATTGTGGCAGGCACCTGTATTCCCAGCTACTTGGGAAGCTGAGTCAAGAGAATTGTTTAAGCCCAGAAGTTGGAGGTTGCTGTGAGCTGTGATGCCACAGCACTCCACCCAGGGCAACAGCTTAAGGCTCTATCCCCCCTCCCCCCAAAAAATAAATAAACAGAATGGCCTATGTTTGTTCTGTTTTTGGAGTTCCTCTGACCAACCTATAACCAGGTGAATGAAGGGTCCTAGACAAAGAAGTTGGAAAATAGTGTAGAGTGGCTAAGAGACCCAGACTGGGACCAGACTATATGACTGACCTACTGTGGATGTAAGCTCAGGCATGTCATTCATTTCACTTCTGCTACCAGGTTCCTGGGCTGCCAAATGAGGTCATGGCATTGCTATGTGGCTTAAGGGATGGTAGGAGAGAGCAGTGCATGGTACCCAACAGATGCTCATGTCAGTCAAGGCCAAGGCCACTGTTATAACAAAGAGGCCCCGATAGAGAATGGCTTTAAGCAAAATTACCTCTCCTGTGTAATTGTCCTAAGGGGAGGGAACGAGGTGAGTGGACAGATCCTGTTCAGAGGCCTGGTTTTCTCCAACTTGGTGTGGCATCCTGTTGGTCTGATCTGCCTTTTCTGATCTGGGGGTCGGGGGGCAGCCCCATCTGTGTTGTCCCAGCTCACAAGAAGCGGGGACAGAGTGTGTAGGAGTTCACACCAATACCCTGAGCCATGGACTGAGAGGTGGTTCCTATCACTTCTGTCTCCAGTCCACAGGTGAGCAGTTAGGCTTTGGACCACACCTAGCTGCAAGAGAGCGGGAAAGGGTGGTCAGCTGAACTGCTGAGCACCCAGCCACGACCTGACCACTGTCTAGAAGGACGTTTGGTGGACAGACAAGTCCATGGCCCAGTGCTAATGAACGCACACCTGCAAGTGCTTTTCAGAGTGAAATGCTCCCCGCAGCCAGGCCTGATGTAGGTCTGCTCTCTACCCTGTGCTTTGCTGTTGTCTCTCCCCAGGGGGAATGCTCTCAAAAGTGCTACTATATTTTCATCGTGGAGACTGTCTGCGTGGCCTGGTTCTCCCTGGAGTTCTGCCTACGCTTTGTCCAGGCCCAGAACAAGTGCCAGTTCTTCCAGGGGCCCCTGAACATCATCGACATCCTGGCCATTTCCCCATACTACGTGTCACTCGTGGTGTCTGAACCCCCAGAGGATGGTGAGAGGCCCAGCGGCAGCTCCTACCTGGAGAAGGTGGGGCTGGTGCTGCGTGTGCTGCGCGCGCTGCGCATCCTCTACGTGATGCGCCTGGCCCGCCACTCGCTGGGGCTGCAGACGCTGGGGCTCACTGTGCGCCGCTGTGCACGGGAGTTCGGCCTCCTCCTCCTCTTCCTGGGCGTGGCCGTCACCCTCTTCTCCCCTTTGGTCTACGTGGCAGAGAACGAGTCTGGGAGGGTCCTGGAGTTCACCAGCATCCCTGCCTCTTATTGGTGGGCCATCATCTCCATGACGACGGTGGGCTACGGGGACATGGTCCCGCGCAGCGTGCCAGGCCAGATGGTGGCCCTCAGCAGCATCCTCAGCGGCATCCTCATCATGGCCTTCCCGGCCACGTCCATCTTCCACACCTTCTCCCACTCCTACCTGGAGCTCAAGAAAGAGCAAGAACAGCTCCAGGCCCGCCTCCGGCGCCTCCAGAACACGACCACCGCCAGTGACGGAGAGCTCCTGGGCGCCACCACAGCCAGTGAACACGAACTCATGAAGGATGTCGACGACCTGACCCTGGAGAGCCCCGCTTCGCCCGTCCTGCGCATTTAACCCAAAAACCCTCGCGTGCATACACAGCAGCCTCACCCATCACCTTGGCTGAAAGTCAAGGATACTCAGCTTAGACCACCTAGTGGTGCGCTTCTAGGGCCTAGGGGACTCCCAAAGCCAAGAGGGGCACAAGGCAAAGATCCGTTATCCCTGGGCCTCATGGCAACTGGGATGCAAGCTAACCTCATTCAGACCACCTTCCTTGCCCTCTCTCCCTGTCCACCCACTGAGCACAGCCACCCTTGCTGGATTAGGTCAGCCCTCCTCATTCTTTCTTCTTCAGGCTAGAGTCTTTAACATCTCACACTGGACTCCAGATGCCCACAGAACTCTGATCACCATTGACATTTTGAATACCCAGCGTACAGAATCCCATTATTTCCCTAAAGCCCCCTTTCCTGGGCCACATCCCACTAAAAGTCAGAGTGTCCAGTCCTGCAAAACCTTCCGATCAGATCTCCCCACCCAACTTTTCCATGAGTTCCCTGGGGCTGCTAAGTCCTCTTTCTGCTCAGCACTCCCCACCAGCTCTGGCTGCTCTTAGCCACCGCCATCCACACCCCTGGGACCTAGGAGCTGTACAGAAGCCCCACGTGTGAGCACAGGAGGCTCTCAGGCTAGCTGGACTCTTGGTGAGATGTTATCCATGACCCAGAGTCCTTCTGCTTGACAGAGGGGAACTCTTTTGGGGCTCTGTGTGGTCCCTTGAGAGTACTGCTCCCCTCACCCCACATTGCAGGGGTGTTGGCTTTTTATCCTCAGTTAAACCACCACAGGCTCAGCCTGGCTTTAGTGCAGAAACAATTCCCACCTAGGATGGCCACTCTGTTCCATGAAGTGATGAGCAGAGTCTCATGAGCACGTCAGAGGCACCTTGGACTATAGCCATATGGGTCTTTTATTCCAGACTAATTTTTTTATAACTACTTGTAGGCAAAATATTAAGAAGTCAAAGTCTTCCACTTACTCCCTGGAGTATATGGGGTTTAGACCACTTGGGAGCTTGCCAGGGTCCAGGTCTTCACTTCCTGTGTGACCTCAGGCTGGTCCCTTTCCCTCTCAGTCAACTGCGGACATTGGACTAGATCTGTTTTCTAACTAGGGTTCCACAAAGCACCCTCAGGAATGGCCATGTGGGTGAAGAAGACCAGCCAAGCAGTCAGAGCTCGGCAAGCCAGCGTGCAACATTTGCAAATAATGATGTTTATAAGAATATGCAAATGTCTAGACACCTTTCCCCTTTCCAGTCAGCTCTCGTCCACAACCTTTGAACTGGGTTAGTGAGCTTACCCCAGAATCAGAAAAGAATCCTCCACAGCCACCAGAAGACCTGGGACCCACACAGGCCCCCACATCAGCCCCCCCTCCTGATTGAAGACCTCTTCTGTGCTGCGTTCCTGGTCAGATAATTCCTAATTACAGTTCTCCCCATTTCTGTAACTGGCTCCTACCCAGACATCTTGGTTTCCCATACGAGGGAAAGTGTGCCAGAGCAGAAAGAAAAGTTTAAGATCAAAATTAGGTGAGCCATCACCAACATTAAGAGATTCTATAGTGTCTTAGTGTTCACCCAGTTGAAATTCTCTACTAAATTAGAAGTGGAAAATTGGAATTGATTGCTCGCATGTGGGGCTTAATTAAACGCTCTATTTTTTCTCCCTGGTAATGTCCCAGGAGACGGGTCTAAATTGTTCTAGTCTAGCCTTGCAAGACAGCCTTCCCTTCATGCTGATTGAATGGGGTGCAAGTGACAAGTTGCTAGGCAGTTTCTTCCTCCCTATTGGCTGAAGGGTGCCCAGTGCTTCCCAGAAGGGCTGGCTTTCTCTGAGGCCAATGGGCATGACTGTAACCAGAGGGAGGCATCAGGCAGCTGAAGGCAAAGGAAAAATGGCCCTTTACTTCAGGCTCTTTCCACACTGTGTTGCGGAAGTAGCTTTTAGAGGTAACTTGGGAAACTTAGCTCAGCACAACTTTAGCCATCATTGAGTTTATTCTTCACAGTGGGGCTTGTTCTAGGACTACGCCGGGGGCTTTGGGGACTCTACTACTGATTCTACTATGATGGCTTTGGGGACTTTAGAAGTTGGTAACTGGAAGTCCCATCAGAAAACAAATCATTGAAGTGGGGGCTTCCCGTCAGGGATCTGTGACCCTCTGGTGGTTATGTGCATTTCAAATCGCAAAGTGTCTGGTGATTTCATCGTATTCTCAAAGGAATCGATGACCCCTCAAGAAGGATAAGATGCTCTAAAGTAAGTCAATTCCCTCATTTTAAGATGGAGAAATCAAGGCTCAGAGAGGGAAAGACACCCACCCAAGGGCACACAGCCAGTTCACCTAGATCCACGTATTCCAATTCCCCACAGAACACTCTTTTCTAGTATGTCATGTTGCAGATCCTAGGCTCATCCAAACTAGTACCCAAGGCCAGGCATGGTGGCTCAAGCCTGTAATCCTAGTACTCTGGGAGGCCAAGGCAGGTGGATTGCTTGAGCTCACAAGTTCAAGACTAGCCTGAGCAACAGCGAGACTCTGTTTCAACTTAAACAGAAAAACTGCCAGGCATCTTGGTGAGCGCCTGTAGTCCCAGCTACTCGAAAGGCTGAGGCAAGAGGATCGCTTGAGCTCAAGATACTGAGGTTGCTGTGAGCACAGACAGCACTCTACCCAAGGTAATAGAGTGAGACTCTGTCTCCCAACTTAAAAAATAAATAAAAATAAAAAATAATCAGTGCCCAGACCCTCGGGAAAAATATTCAAGACAAGCTCATAGCAACACTTAGCCCTAGTGCCCTGAGCAGGGCAGGTAGTGTTGTCTTGGAGTGTTTTAGACATTATCGTGTCTAACAGTGGACATGGAAATCAATTACAATGAACCTTCCTTTTCTCGTTTAGTCCAAGTCTGAATATAAATTTGCTGAGATCTCTCTGCACCACCTGCCCACACGAGCACTGCCCACCCCAAACCCCATCCCCCAAAGTGTCAGGCTTCAGGGCTCCACACGCTCAGCTGCCCGCCGCTCAGCAGCTCATTAAACAAACCTCCCTCCTCTTCCTCATTACACCAGGCACCAAGCGAACATTTTATTCGTAAAAAACGTCAAATTCACCAAGAACAAAAATAGCACACGGAACACCCAAACACACTTTTTAACTTTTACATTTTTCCCCATCTGTCATATCCTTTGCTCCATCTGGGTCTGTGTCATATCTGCATAGTATGTTTTGCTGAACTACTTGAGAGTACGTTGCCCACGTCATGGTCCTTTGCCTTTGAGTCACCACACTAGAATGTGGCTGCCAGAGGCTCATCAGCAGACCACCAGCCCAGGGAGTCTTAGCCGAGAGTTTCCAGGAGGTTCCAAAGGTTTCTGGACCTCTGGAGGGCAGGTGCATTGCAAAGTACTAACTGTACAATAATCCCATCAGCTTCTCAAAGGAGTCTTGGACCCTCTGCCCCTGCCCCCAAAGAGTAGGAAGTTCTAAAGTAAGCCAATTCCCTCATCTTGGGGTGGAGGGCCCAGGGAGACCCCCAAACACTGCACTGTGCAGGTCTTTAGGACAAGGATGTCCTCTTACATAACCACAGTGCAGTTCTCAGCCTCAGCTCAGTCAACTCTGATGCAATATTTTAATCTAGTCTACTGTCTGTTCCAAGTTGGCTGACCTAATAGCCTTTACCCTCCAGCACAGGGTCCAGCCCAGGCTCAGACACACTGGATATTACTTTAACTCGTCCTATCTCTTTAGCGTCCTTGCTTCTACCACTCTTCTTTGACTTAGTTGACACTGAAATTCTGGGTGAACATAGAATGCATGTATGTGTGCACACACATGTACACACACACACGTACACACATGTACACACACACGTACACACATGCACGTACACACACATGTACACACACATGTACACACACACACACACAGCCTTTGTCAAACAGGTGTCCCTTATTTTGTGTTTGTCTGATTTCACCTCCTGCTCTGATAGGGGCTGTGCATTCCCAGCCAGAAGGTTACGTAAGTGAGGCTGTGTCCCTCTCAGGCCCTCATTTCTGGGGTGCCATATCCTCCGAGTCCCTGGTTAGGAAGGTGACCCCAGGAAACGCTGTCAGAGGAGTGCTGAACTGGCCTAAGGCTATGTAAGTAAAAAGCAAAATTATCACCCTGCATGTCTCCATCCTGGCAGGCATGTGGGATGTGCTGGCAGACGGGGCACACGCAGCCACCCAGGACAGCTCTGTGAGTAGAAAAGTATGCCTCCCTCACAGATATCCCCAAGGCTCCAAGCACATCATCTCTCTCCACCTGGCCAGCTCAGGGCATGGCCTGCTTCACAGATTCTTAGAACTAAAAGGATCATGATGGTCACCAGCTCCATCCTGCCCAGTTTACAGGTATGAGAGTGAAGGCCCAGGGAGGGGCCACACAGCCAGGTGCAGCCAGGTCGGGACCAAGCCCAGGCTCTGGACCCCCAACCTAGAGCCAGCTCTCCCAGTCGCTGTGCCCTCCACCCCTGCCCAGCACCAGCTCTGTCCAGTGTTGACATCTGTGTTTGATGTCTAACCAAGGGACACTGCCAGGAGCACAATGCCAGTTAAAAATAAAACAAAGGAAAGGTGTGGGGCTTCCTTGTGATCCAGAGCTGTCTGTTCTGAGCCTGGCTCTGCCTCCGAGGCACCTACTTCCGGATGACACGTGGAGACTCACGGCGTCAGCTGCTCAGCTGCGGTGTGACTTTCAGAACTCACCTTTGCCATAAGAAGAACAAAGCCAAGGGGAGGGCTGGGCTCCCTGTGATGTGACTCAGAATGTATTTGAACTCCCGGAGCTAAAATTAGCCAATCTCGCTGCTTCCAAAGGCTTCCATTGTATTTGGCCAAGGAATAGCCTGAAATAAGATTCCCTCTAGGAAGTTCAGCAGTTTCACCTTGCACCTTCCTAACTAAGCTTGCAGGGCTCCCCCACCCCCGTGCAGCTCCAAGAGAAATATTAAACAATATTGAGAAGTGATGCTATGGTTTCTCTGGTGTACTGGGGCAGGTTCCCGCCCGAAGCCTACAGGGATTGACTGTGAGGGTGTGGGAGGATCCCCCTGGAAAGGAAGTGGCAAGGGCCAGGGGTCACCCACCCAACGCCACCACCAAGATGGGAGTCAGAAGTTGGGTGGGGGCAAATGGTTGGTTTCTGGAGCTCATTTCTTAGGTACCTGCCCTAGGCCTAATGTTCTAGCATCACGGAGACTCATGGTAAGCAAGACAGATGCCTGTGTGGATGGAGTGGAGGTCTGGAAGGACGTGGGAGGGCACAACACCGATACACAAGGACAGCGATAAACGAGGCAAACATAGCTGAGACAAGTCCTTGGGAGGAAGGAAGCTGAGGGGCCGTGCATGGGACACGCTGGTTGCCAGGTTTAGACAAGGTACCCAGGAGGTACATCTCGGATCTCCCAGATCTTCAGGTGCCCTCAAAGGCAGCCTCTGGGGTGGGGATTTGAGTGCTGGAATTTTGCTTGACGATGATGCCAGGACACACAAGTAGGGAGAGAGAAGTGAGACAGGGGAGGAAAGGCAGCCTAACCCCCTGGGCAACTGGAGTTCAAGCCCCTGGGGAGACTCTGGCGGACAGTCTACACAGGGGGGCATGCCAAGGGTTTGTTGCACAAAAGTAAGCTTCACTCTCACACCAGACTCCCTCCCATTCCAATATCCCAGTGGTCATAGCTCTAAGCACTTCCTAAAATTCACCCATTAATATCAGTCAGGAATGATTTATTTCCAAGTTCAATAAATACTACTCAGACGTCATGAAGCAAATAAATGAACAAGCAAAAGAATTACTAGCTTTTATAACTAAAAATCCAGGTGGAGTTCAGTGACACTGCATCAAGGTTTTGATCTGCGTGTCCCTAGCGATGTTGAGCCTCTCTGCATGTGCCTCTTGGCCATTGCATGGCTTCTTCAGAGAATGTCTGTTCAGATCCTCGGCCTGAGAACTGTCTAGGTTGTCTTGTTCTTACTGGGTTGTAAGAGCGCTTTACGAATCATAGATATAAATCCTGTATCCGACATGATTTGCCAAAGTATACTCTCCCATCCTGTGAGTTGTATTTTCACTTTGTTGATGGTTTGCTTTTAAGCACAAGGGTTTTCAATTTCAAAAATGTTCTAACTTTTTTATGTTTTCTTTTGTGATTACGCTTTTGGTGCCGTATCTAAGAAGACTGTGCCTAACTCAGGATCATAAAGCTTCACTGCTGTATTTTCTTCTAAGAGTTTTGTAGTTTTAACTTTTACCTTAAGTCTGTGACCCATTTTTAGCGAATTTTGTGCATCTTCATTCTTCTGCATGAAAAAATGGATTTTCTTATTTTAAAGCCATATATATATATATATATATATTTTTTTTTTTTTTTTTTTTTTTTTTTATTTTTTTTTTTTTTTTTGTCATTTTTGGGCGGGGGCGTTTTTGGCCCCCGCCACTGCCGGTATATGGGGCCAGCGCCCCACTCCTTGAGCCACAGGTGCCACCCCTCATCATTTACATTTTGGGCACTGCCCAGTCATATTTTGTTTTTTAAACAATAATTTCACCCAAACTGTGGAGCGGGGTGACAACAAGGGCCTCTTCTTTGGGTCTTTGTTGACTTCTCCAGAGCAGAGAGAAGGGGCTCACCGCACCATGGAACTTTTCAAAATGTCTTCCGACGTCATATTTCAGGGCAGAATTTCTAGTCTCTCTCTAACCCACTCCTGCAAACAGATCCTACAATTCATTAATTTTCTACTCAGTGCCTGCTTGTCAGGCACCTTCCACGTGAGAGACCTCACAAGAAGGGTTGGACAGAAATGAACAACAACACCCCAGCCTGAGCCCACAGCAGACAGCCCTGATGACACCCTGCCAGAGCCAGGGACAGTGCCAGGCACACTCACACTTCATGCTCCCATAGCCCTGCACACTACACGTTTGTGACTGACCCTCACTTGGCAGGTGGGAGAACCGAGGATCAGAAAGGCAGACCTGCGGTCTCCCGGGTCCATGCTTCCACTCAGAGCACTCTGCCCTGGGAGTGGTAGAGGCCACACAGAGACACCTTGGGTGCAAAGGACACCAGGGTCCAGAAGGTCCCCAGGGCCCAGGGCTACAGAGAGGGAGGGTGGGGTGATGGGGAAGGCATCAGAGGAAGCAGCTGTGAGTTGTGCCAAGGGGGATTACGTCACCTCCCCATTTGAGTATGGTGCGGTTGGCAAAGCTGCACCCAGCAGGGATTAGGCCAAGATGACATTAACAGACTCTCCGTTCCAAGAGTTAGCGCTCATCATCACCCTCAATAATAAATAAGCTGAGTCAAAGGAACCAAGGTCCTATTGTATAATGAAAAGACTGTCTTGGGAGGAAAGGCTTGGACAGGCAGATTTATGAAATGCGGGGACAAATACTACTTATTTGGCAGAACACAGTGGAGTTAGCGCCGTTTTGAATAACTTGTTTACCCAGTGATTATGTGATTGATGAACACCGGAAGGCTCTCGGCATAAGACTGAAATTTGAAACAGCTGCCATATTTCTAGATCTGATTATGGTCACCATTGCAGTATAAGGAAGTAAATCAATTTAAATGATCTTGCAGGGGAAACAATGTGTAATAAATGGGCTAATTAATAGGTGTGGGTGTTTTAAAAGCCCTCTCCATCCCTGAGGGAAAAAAAGAAATAATTACTTCAAGGTTGACCTGAGGACTTTTTAAAAAACAAAACAAAAGGTAAGTAACCTATTTGTTTTCTCAGTTAAATAAGAGATCGGTGCTTACCTGGCTTTGGAGACCTGCCCTACTGGTTCAGACTCCCTCCTCCAGCAAGAGGCTGGCCTCTGTCCTCCACGCGCGCACCCTCCTGACCCACCTCTCTGGCCTTTGCAGGGCCTCCTGTCTGGACTCTCCCCTCCTGGGCTCCTTCTAGCCATTTCCCCACCCTGCCGTCCCAGCTCCCCGACTCTCTCCCAAAGCCTCCAGCAGGCAGCTCTTTGTCTTAATGGCACAGGGCATCCTCCTGACTCAAAGTGAGGAGGGAACTTCAGGAACGGTATTGCCCAGTCCTTGTAGTATAAAGAGCAAATTGGGGCTCAGAGAGGTTGAGAGTTTCGTCCAAGCTCACAGAAGGAAATCCTGCCGCAGCCCTGGGTGGTGCCTGACACAGAGGAGGTTGGGAGTCAGGCTGGTGCCATGTGCTGGCCTGGACGCTACCCACCCCACCTCACCTCCTGACCCTGGGCAAAGATGGCATCTATCCTGCAGACTGGTGGCAGGTTCAAATACAGCAGCCTGTGAAGCTTCTGTGAGGGCTGCTATGGCCTCTGCCACCAGCTGTGCGTTTCCTCTGTTCCCACCTCCCTTGGATTTCCCAGGTCATTGTCACTGTGGGAAAGGGAGAGCAAGTGGCCTGCAGAAGGGCAGGCTGGGCAAGAACAGATCTGGATATTTCTGTAGATGAATGGACTGTGGGCACAGAGGTTAAATGGCTGGCTGCAGCCACACACCCAGTAGCAGAGACAGGTTGGAGGGAGGCAACCCAGTCTCACGGCTTCAGCATCAGCACTGGCCCTGGATGACAGCTTTGGAGGAGGCTATCTGTACAGGTCAGGGTTCTCCAGGGAAACAGAACCAACAGGACACATCCAGACAGATTTATTATGAGGGCTGGCTCGCTCAGTGACAAGGCTGAAGAGTCCCACGATCTGCTGATGCTAGGGGCGCGAGAGGGCTGGTGGTGTGGCTCCTGGGCAATATGAAGGCCCAGAACTGGAGAGAACTGGTGGTGTAAGTTCTGGTCAGAGTGTGAAGGTCAGAGAACCAGAATGCTGAGGTCCCAGGGCAAGAGGAGAGAGATTCCCCCTTCTCTGCCTTTTTGTTCTTTGTTCTTTCTGTATCCTCAATGAAGGGATGGTGCCTGCCCATCTTGGGGAGGACAGCTCCTCTACTTAGCCCACTGATCGGATGCTCATCTCTCGCAGACACACCAGAAGCAGTGTCACCTGATATCCTTCAGCCCATCACACCACCCTTGACAGCACCAGCAAGCCCATCTGAGTCACGGCCTATGGTTCTGAACCCTGGAGCTGCTGGGGTGGAGGGCGCCTCAGTCATAGGCTGGGAGTCACAGGACTCCTCAACCACCCCTGGCCCAGGTCCCTGGGTGTCTAGGCTGTTGTGTTCCTGCTTGACAGAAGTGCCAGAGCGGCGGGCTCCAGATGTGTAGACGTCTGGACACACATTTGTCGTGCTCACTATCTTCCCTCCCCATCCAAGGTCCACAGAGGACCCAATTGCCCTATGGGCTCTCTGTACCACCCCAGAGGAAAGGGACTGAGATGGTAGCTCCCTGCTGCTCCCCCAAGTCAGAGCAGCCTGGATAGGCTCAGGGCAAGCATGCTGGCGCTGCACGTTGGCTGGATGGCAGGAACCAGGGGGAGTCACCTCCAATCCCCACCCTGCTCCCATGCCCGTGAAAGGGGGTGAGGCTACAATTTAGCAGTTTTTCAAGGAAAGGATCCAGGTGAGAGCCCAGTGATCACAGGGCTTCCAAAGTAGGTGTGAATGGCTCACCTCCCAAAGGGCTCCTACCCTCAACACACACAGAGCCATCTACACACAGCAGGCCCAGAAACACTTCTTTATTCAAGCCCACATGTGCAGCAGCCCCCAACCATTTCAGGCCCCTCCCGCCAAGCCCAGTCCCACCCTGCCCACACCTGTGCTCTGCCCTCCCCACCCCCCAGGAAAAGACATGCCCCCACAGTCCAGCTCAGCTCCCAAGCCAGCTCCTGCAGGTCCACCTCAGTTTCTGAACTTGCCCAGCAGTGGCTTCGAGGGCCAAGCCCCCAGGCCCTGCTGGTCCAGGAGGAGAGACAGCCGTCGGCGAGCCTCCTGGTAGGGCCCAGCCTGGGGCAGGAGACAGGAAGTAGGGTGAGAGATACAACAAGGGATGGGGTGGGGGTAAAGGAGGGTGGGTCATGTCAAGGGGTGGGGTGGGGATAAAGGAGGGTGGGTACTAGCAGGCACAGGGTACAGGAGAATCCAGAGGTAGAGAGCTGGAGAAGAAGGGACTGACCTTGGCAGCCTCATAGGTCTTCAAGGCCAGGAGGTGGGGCTTCCCCAGGGCTCCGGCAGCCTGGCGAAAGGCCCTGAGGAAGGCAGCCTTACAGAGACGGGAAGGAGGCCCGAGGGTGGTGCTGGGTAAACAGAAGATGCCATGGAGGACAGAGGGGAGTGAAGGGCCCAGCAGGGCCACCCCATGCCCTCATACCATCTCCTCTCCTGCCATGACCGTGACTGTGACCACGTGCAGAGTCACAGGGCAGGCAGAGCTGCCAAGTGGCTGAGCCAGGGTTGGAACCAGGGGCGACAACTCTCTCATGTGCTCTGATCCTACTGCAGGGAGATGGGGCCCCCTTTTCCCAGCCCCAGGGGCCCTTCTCACTCGGCCTTCACACGCCCAGTGGCCACATCCACGACCTCAATATCAGGGTCCCCCAGACTCCAGTTGAGGCTCAGTCCATGGCAGCTGTTGGTGGGCTCAGAGGGGGCCACTGGGGGCCCTGTGAACAGGTGCAGAGTGGTGCGGACATAGGGAGGGGGCAGGACTGGCCCCAAGGCCCCATCCAGGCTGGGCCGGCTATGGATGGCCCTGCTCAGTGTCGAGGGGTCATGGCAGGGATCAGCTGTGGGGCAGAAGGCACAGGACAAACTGAGTCACCTCCACACTCTCCTAGCCCACCCAGAGCCCACCATTGACCCACACTAGATAGAGCCTCACCCAGGACGAGGCTGGTGCTGTAGAGTGGCGGCAGGAAGTGGGCCAGCAGGGCACCACCCAGCCCCAGCACGACCCAGCGTGCCAGCTTGTCACTGGCCGAGAGGCAACCTACATGGGTGTCATGGAGCGCAGGGGCCACATAGCACACAGGCTTCAGCTGCCCACCAATGTGCGCCTGCAGGCGGAAGGGTGTGCCATGGGAGAGGCTGCCTTCCGAAGCTGAGGGCAGGCTGCCAAGATAGGGGGGACAAGAACACCAGAGTCAGAGTGCTCTTCTGACCCCCAGCCCCGTCCAGCAGCCCAACCAAGGGAGCCCAGGGGCCACATACTAGATGTCGTGGGCTGCTCCCTTGGGGGTGTTGCTGACATAGAGGTGCAGGAAGATTCGGGGCTTGAGGGCAAAGGGAGGCCCAGGCCCAGGCTGGGGGGCCAGCACAGACCGCTCCTGGCCCTTGGGGCCTCCCTTAATGGCCAGTAGGAGCTGCCGGTACAAGAACCTGGAAGTGACAGGTAAAGGACAGTTGGGGCCACCGTGTGCTGAAAGGAGCTGCAGCAGAATACCAACCCAACCTGCCACTCACCTCAACAGAGCACGGCGGGCAACCACCAGCGCATGGCAGTCATGGAGCTGCCGGCCCGAGAACTCCAGCCAGCCGGCACAGCAGCTGTTGCCCGTGCCCAGTGCCACCAGCTCATAGATCTCCTTGGAGTAGCCCCTGGCACCTGGGATCTCTGTGCAGGGACAGGCAGAGAGGCCGAGCCTCAGGCAAGGGGCCCAATGGAGACCTTCCAAGGGGAGGGGGGCTGGGGCAATCCCTACCCCTTTCCAGGATGACTGCAGCCACAGTCCCCTTGCAGGCCCGGTACGGAGAGTTCTCATCCAACAAGCAGTCAAAGCCGGCACTAACCACAGCCGCACAGCGCTGCTCATGGGTCAGGATGTTCTCTATGCAGGGGCAAGAGGGTGCAGGTGGGATCTCACAGATGATGCCTTCCCCCGACACCAGAATCTGGGTCAACAAGAGCCACCTACCTACACTCAGGGAGGCAAGTGGAGGCTCACTGGGAGTCTTGGGAGCATCTGTAAGGGGAAGGGGAGAGGGCAATTGCCATGAGCTCTGGGGTCTGCCCTCCCATCCTTCAAGAACCCAAGGGAGAGGGAGGGGATGTTTTCATCCTCCAGAAAGGGAAAGCTCCATGAGCTGCTCCTTTAGCTGTTCCTGTCCAGTGTGGGCAGGACTTCAAGGACATGAGAGCAGGGTTTGCCACATGTCCCCCTTCCCAGATCCCCGTAGATAGATCCTGAAGCTCAGATGGAATGTGCCACAACCTACCCCCAACATACATGTACACACAGAGCAGCCTCAGGGTAGGACTACAGTCTCAGGCCTCTTGTGCTCACCTAGGGCAGGGTTACTTGGCTGGCTGTCACTTGTGCTCTCCAGCTGACTGCGGATGTAGCAGAGGGCAGACAGAGCTGCCTGCTGTTTGGCATCTGTCTTGCAATCTGAGGTGCATGTGGGGCAGACCACCCCATCCAGCTCCACATACACAGAGAAGGTGGAGCAGGGACCTGGACCTGGGGAAGAAGGGGATGACAGGCGAGTCCCCTGGCCTTCAGCCCTGTGTGAGCCCTTTTTAGGAGGAGGGTTTCACACCTATCCCCCTCCCCCGCCAGAGCCACAGAAGCTCTCACTTACATTTCCACCTGACATCAAGGACAAGAATAACAACCCTAACTGCCCTCCTTAACCAAGGACTCCAACCACACCAGGCACACCTCTTCCGAAACAAGTATGAATGACTCCATTTCTACAGCTGTGGCACAAAGGGTAGGCAGCTTGCCAAAGGCAGTGACAAGACCCAAATCCAGGTCCACCGCCAGTGCCCATGCTACCCTAGTCTCAGGATGAGGGCCCTGAGCACACTGTACAGCATCCTGCCTGGCACCATCACTTTATATTTGAAGATTTTTTTTTCTATCAAATAATATCAGGTGTGATTTGTAACACAGAGACAGATAAAAATCTTACAACTGGGATTTCTTGGCCAAACGGTACAAACTTATTATTTAAGTCCCAAGTACTTGCTGCTAAATTCTCAAAAAGATTTCCTTTTAAGAAAGGAACCTATTTCAGCCTTCCTCACTAGCACTGAGTTTCATCTACCTTAAAAGGGCATCAAACCCAACAACTTTAGATAGAGGCAGAAGCACTGTTGGCATTAGAAGCCACCATGCAGCAGCTGTCACAGCAAGAACTGAATCTGGGAGAAGCATCAACAGGTGACTGATGCCCTGAAATCACGTGACATGGGGACAGGCTATTTACAGATCTCCAAATGTCTCCCCTCGAATGACTTATGAAGCACAAAGCAGAAAGTGAAGACACCTGGCAGAAGCCTAATCAATCCCTCACAGTTAACTCTGGCAAAGGACAAGCAGATCACGACTGGACATCACCCTGTAACACAGAGCCTGAGCCAGTCCCGCAGAAATGGGCTAACCCAAGTTCAAGGACATCTACAAACCAA